AGAACGAACCCCTCTGGGCGCCACTCCTTTTCCCACTTGCTTCCCAAGTGGTGAGTGAAGTCCAGGCACCCGAGGAAGAAAAGGGTGAGGGTGATGGCGGGCTCCGTTCTGGACACGGCTGCAGTGACACCAGGGCAGGAGAGGAGCCCAAGTGGGAGGGTGTGCGACAGCACGAAAAAACAGGGCTGAGGGCTACCCCGTGCTCCTCTGTCAGAGCCGAGAGACGCGCTGCTCTGGAACGGGCGAGGAGGACGCGAGAGGGCGCAGCTGCTCCAGCCCCCTGGCCGGCCACCCGCCTTCCCTCCCGTGGGGGCCTGGCCGCGCGAGCGGGTGACGGGGGAGGCATCGTGCAAAGGTGTTTCTAGGACCAGCAGGCAGGCTCTGCTCTTTGGGGGGGGGGAAACGCACCAAACAGACCTGAACCGAGGGGCCAGCCGGCGGCCCCCCTCTCGCCCGGAGGCAGAGAGAGGAAGCCTCCAAGCACCCAGAGGGAGGCAGAGGGCGCCCGCTGAGGCCGGCTTTCTATTCCTCTTTCAACGCAGCAGAGCAGAGCATGGCACACACACACACATACATACTACCCAGCACGCACGCACACACCAGCCTATATATTGCTTGTTAAGGCACCACATGGGCATGTGGGGGCCACCAGGGAGGCACAACCCCTTTCCAGGTGACCCGCCTGCCCCAATCCCCATCCCAGCAAACAGGCAACTGGAGTTCAAGGGCCGGGGGTGTGAATCCAACACCAGTCCCTCTGCAGCCCAGCCCAGCGCAGTCCAGTCCAGTCCAGCTGGCCAGGGGAGGGGGGAATGTTGTCTTGTCTCTTCCGTCCGTTCCCTTTGGAGACAGGATTCGCTTCCAGCGCTCCCTTCAGGAGAGCTAAGATAAATGACCCAGCACCAGGCAAGCAGGCAGAGGCCCCCAATCCCCCCTCTGGCAGTGCCTGGGTCAGGGAGCGACAGGAGACCCCCGCTTTCGGCGTGCAAAGAGTCCGTACATTCAGTTCCTGCCACGGCCCCTCCCTCAGAGGCCTCCGCCCGGCCCCCACCCCGCCGTTTTCCAGCCTCCCCATCAGAGAGGGGGGCGCAGGGCCTTCCAGGAAATAAGGGCAGGAGGGGCTTTTCTCCCGGGCCACAGGACCAGCGCAGGATGGGGGGGGCGATGCTGAGGGAGAGGATCTGTCTCTTGTGCAGGTACAAGCCGAGCAGTGGAAGCCGGTGGGGGGGACGGCAAGAGGGGTGGGGGCGGACGGATAGATGGACGGAGTCACCCGGCTGCCCTCCAGGCAGGCCACCAAGCCCAGCCAGGTGTCCCCCCCACACCCCCTGTTTTCCCTTTGTGGAGGCCAAGGTGGGCTTTGTGCTGCATTGGGACAGCCCCCCCCCCGGGCGTGGGAAGTTGAGGAGGAGGAGGAGGAGGAGGCGTCCAGCTGTGAAAGGGGTCGGGGGGGCTTTGGGGAAAGCCCCAAGCCCAGCCCCTGCTGTGAAAAGGAGAGAGGAGCAAACCCTCGGCCCTGGCTTGTGCAAGAGGGGCAGGTCCGAGAGCCGAGTCCGAG